TCATAAAATAGACCAAATCTGTGACTTTCAGATTATCTTTACGTGTCTAAAATATATGAAATAGAGCGCAGACCTTAGTTACTAGATAGAAAATTTTCCCGACCCGCTAGTTGTTCTGTGTCTCTTTTTATTCGACGATTGCCCCCCCCCACACACACTCGTCTGGAGCTGGTTACGTCCCTGATCGCGCAAAACCGCTGCATTTTAAGAACTTTTATGCACTCTGCCGTATAAATACCTGTGGGGCATGTGGGTCCCCTTTTCCCAACAATTTCCAAGTATTATTTCGAACACGATAAGCTGTTATCACACGACCTGTGGTAATAAAATTAAACGAACACAAATACATTAATCATGGGGATAGATCGTTTAAAAATGCTTATGATGCATGCATTAATTAAGGGAGCAATTTCATAGTTTATGGGGGGGGGGAATACCGAAGATAAAAGGGTTGGGTAAACAAAACTTTGAGTGAGTAAAAGGTTGGGTGATAAAAACAAAACAACTCGAGGGTTGGGTAGTAAAAAAATTGTCATTTCCAAACCATTACTCACACAAATATTGAAGCAAGGTCAACTGGTTATGTCAATACAATATGTAAATCAGAGTCACGATCTTGATAATTTTCTGATTTATCAGGAGGCAATGGTGTCTCAAAAAAAGTACATGTGCAGACAACGTGAAACTTTAGACACGAATAGCTAACTATATCCAGTTCAACGTTTTAAACTTACCTAAGTCATGCGCATGCGTACGGAAGGCAAATGCGTTGATTTCTTGTTCGCTGTCGTATTTGCAAGCGATATCCACGTGTATTCCTGAAAACAACGCGATGAAAATTATTTATTTTACATGCAATTGACACCAAACCCAAGGGCAATACATACGATGACTAAGACAAACACTCCGATAATTGTCTTTCATTCAATGGCACGACCAATTTAACATAAGTAATAGCAAATACACTAATAACACTATCCAGTTGTAGTATAAATGTCTTAAGGTCAGTGTTTTGAAAACTATTTTCCTGAAAAATTTTGTCCAACAAGCATGTCTCAAAAAATTTCTTTGTTTTTCTTAATTGAAACGTCATTTATATCTTGTATCACTCTTCTTGTAGCAAGTTTAACGTCATGAATTTTCATGCCACAAATCTCGTCATGAATTTGAATTATCACGAGATTTGTGGCATGTCGCAATTTCGACGTAATTTAATATTCACAAGCTGAAAATAGACTTACATTGTTACGAAACACTGTCGCAACTCACAATTTCAATGAAATTTGATATTCAGGAATTCAAGCTGTATTCAACTCAAACCGAAACTAAACACAGTCTACAGACACTGTCTATCAAAGGTCGCTTTGACTGTTTTCTTACAAGGCTCATTTGGTCGCTCAAATCAACGTCAATTTACCACATCCACGTAATATTAACTAAAGTAAGTGCAAGATTTGCTTCAGTAACTCAAAGTTACAAACATACAAACCAAGAGAGGTTATAGATTGACGTGGCAATAGTTATTGATGCAGAACTGCTGTTGAATAACGATGTAGGAAGTTAATTTATAAGCTGTTCATGAAACAAGACATAACGATTGATTTCTTGGTTTATATTCTAGAATTCTACTGGTTCACACGAGAACGCATTACGAGAAATGAAAGTAAAAATCCAAGAACGCTATCGACTGGTATTGTAATTAATGAACTGCTTTTGAATTTAAATGGCCTCGAAATTGGCCGTATACAACACTGGCTATGAAGATGAACGATTTCAACAGATTGTCAGCCAGACTTTGCACTGTATTATTTGTACCAATGTCATCAAAGATCCGGTTATGTGTCGGCAAAATGAACACATCTTTTGTAGAGCTTGTATCACCAGACATCTCATAAACTTCCAAACATGCCCGACATGCATGGAACCACTCACTGTCGAAACACTAAGCCAAGCACCTCGGGGTATAAGAAACTTGCTGGCTGAATTGAAAATTCGATGTGAATTCTTCGATCGTGGTTGTGGAAAGTTTATTGAGCTGGGAGATATTGAAAGGCATGTTACAGAATGCGGTTTCGCCCCAGCAGTCTGCTCTAACAAAGGATGTCAACTTGAGGTGAATAAACAAGATTTACTTCATCATGAAACTTCTGTTTGTGAACTACGCAGAGTTCAATGTCACAGCTGCAAGGATATTCGACAAGAGATGGATACAGTGAAAGTTAATTTGGCAGCAATGAATGAGAAGTTAGACAAAAATGAGAAAAACGTCTTGGAAAAAATTGAGACGAAAGGAAAAGCTGTAGAAAATGTGGTGGCAAAAGTTGAACTGGTTCAAAAACAACTTAACAAGCAGGAAGAAAGTAATCGCCAGTTCAAAGCGGACAATGTAGAAATGAAGAAAAGTTTGAATGAAATTATGAAACAACTGGAAAGAATAACACAACAAATGTCGCACGAAGTTCAGGCTGAAGGAATGAAGAAAGGAATCGCAGAAGCGGATGGAATGGAAAGAGAGCCAAAAGTGGTTATCGCTGGAGGTGCAAACCCAAAAGCTTTAAATTCTGTGGAAATGTTCAGTCTTTTAACTCGAACCTGGACACCACTACAGCAAATGAAAGAAGGTCATGAAGGAGCATCTTCAGTTGTTTACAACAATCAGTTATTTGTCGTTGGAGGTTATGTTAAGTCCATGGAAAAATTGTCATTGAATGCTGTTCAAGTTGACCAGTCCATACCTTGGGAAAACGTTCCTGCTGAGTTACCTAAAGAGTTGGCAGGACACTGCAGTGTAGTTTATAATGGACGGTTGATAGTTATCGGAGGTTGTGATAAAGGTGCATTTTCTGATAGTATTACTGAGATTTCCATTGTTCCACCTTATACCAGTAAACTGTTGGCTACCATGCCACAAACAAGATTTTATCATGGTGTTGCAATCTTTGGTGATAAGATCTTAATTCTGGGAGGTTTCGTGTCTTACTCAGTTTCTAGAAGTGTTGTTATGTATGACATCACTAAGAATGAATGTCAGGAGTTAGCACCCCTCCCTTACCCCGTGCATGAAATGGCCACAGTCAAGTGGGATGATGACAATGTCATGATAATAGGGGGTGCTGAGAGTATCGTTAAACGATTAAACAAAGTTTTACTGTACAACATCAAGACCCAGAAGAGTTGTATGTTACCAAACATGAAGTATAAGAGGACAGGATGTGTGGCTGCAGTTGTCAGAGACACTGTGATTGTCATGGGAGGCGAAGATGAAAGAGGAAATTACTTAAAGTCTGTAGAAAGTTTTAGATTCGATAGTTATACCTGGGAAGAACTTCCCCAAATGCACGAAGCAAGACACAGAGCTACTGCAGCTGTATGTTAACTATAGACCATATTTTAGATTTGATTGTTATGCCTCATTCCAGAAATGCATATAGCTACTGTAGTTGCATTTTAATAAATGTATTATGTATATTAACCATCTATCTTTATTTGTATTAAATATATTAGTTATATGATTTGTAATAATACAGTATGAACAATCAGTGACAATTTTCCAAATAAATTTGAATACTCACTATTTTTTAGTGTATATACAAATATCGACTGCTTGGTACAGTATACATTCAAATATTAACAGTTATTCACTTTTTACATAATTTGCACTGATGTAGAAAGAGACTCGTTATACCAGATATACCAGTATTTTTTTTCAAATACTGGTATCAGTGATATTTGCAAAAGAGTGACAGAGTGATGTACACATAAAAACAGTATGTCACTGATATCGGTTTTTTGTCACTGATATCCCTTTTTGTCCCACTATTTTAATAATTGCTGTATTGGGGCAACGATTAATTAATATTCTAATAAATTCTGACTCTGATAAAGGCGCAAGTATATAATAACAGGTTGTCATAATCAGGACGAAGCAACTTCAATTTTATCACTTTCGGGACGATATCACAAGTTATTTTCGAGAGGTACGAAAGAAGCGGAAAATGTTTTCTCACACACTAATGGGGCCAGATAGAGATCGTGTGTTATCGGGTGGTGCAGGTTACCTGTAGATGAGCATGTTTTTGTTGTTGCTCATGGTAGCTTGACCATACGTCCCACCTGCCTACCCTTTGTTAAGAATGTTAGAATGGCCAAGTTAGGTTATGACGCAATGTATGTTTGTAGTAAAGCGAGCATTGTGTGATGGATAAATGTCAAGCTTGCAGCTGATGCTGCAGCAGCTCCCAACGGTGTGTGAGAAATGTTCTTCGTTTGCATGCTGTGCTCACTCATGAAATTTATAATATTGTCCCTCAAGCAATAAAACTGATATCGCCCCTCATACGATAGCTTATACAAACTGGTATATTGTGGAATACCAGTATTCGGTACTTACAATATCGAGTCTCTTCAAGACTCGAGCAAATAGATTGAAGGCTTCGCAAAATAATAAATCGCGATGCATATCATTACCAGCCGCTTCAACAACCGCTAGCTGAATTATTAATAAACTAGCTAATAGCAGAAATACTCCAAACTTCACGGACATTTTGCCCCCTTCTATTTGACATGGATATTGATGAATAAGCATCAAAATTCCCCGAAGGTGAAACGGTTAGTGTTGGAGAATAACCGGAGTGCCCGGAGAAAATCTCTCGGAGCACAGCAGAGAACCAACCCCCACTACTCTACCTTCCCGAGTTTTCAAACACATCAAGTCAGAGCAGGATCGAAACTCAAGTTTCAATAATACTCGATACTCTAGACCTTCAGAGGCAGATTTAACCCAGCAGTAAGGAACAGCCCCTAATGTAAGGGGAGCTGGAAATACGTCCTGAGGTTATATGTTACTGTAAATGACCTTGTACTTTACTTGGCTGTACTGCAATTACAGGAAAAATTATTAATAATTGGTCACCTGTAGTTTTTGGATATTATTTAAAAAATATTGCGTCTGTTTCAAACACACAAAACAACTCACTATACAAACATCAGTTTAGAGTTCTAGGTAGTTGATATAAGCGAAAATGATAAAATACGGGCTGACGGTATGTTCTGAGGTTATATGGTAAACTATTTGTACTTTACTTGGCTGTTTGGCGACAAAAGTGAAATGATTAATAAATAACAACTGGCTACATGATATCGCGTCTGTTTTGTTACTAAAGTGAGAATGATAAATAATTAACGAATGATCACCTGTACTTTTTGAAGATATCGCGTCTGTTTCCAACGCACACTTGCTCCAACAGTTTGGCCTAACGCAAGATGTCGATATGAAGTAAATAAACGAGATTTACTTACTTACGTTAAACGACATTAGACAAGAGATGGATACAGTAAACGCTAATTTGGCATCAGTGACGGAAAAGTTGGACAGAATTGGGACAAACGTTGAGGCAAATATGGAATCAGTTCAAAACCAACTTAAGGAACAGGAAAGAGTCAATCGTCAGCTTAGAGCGGACATTGTAGAAACAAAGGAACGTTTGAATGGAATTACAGAACAACTGGAACAAATGACACACGAAACATCGCAAGAAGAGCAGGCTGAAGAAATGAAGAAAGGAATCGCAGAGCCTGATGGAGTGGACAGAGAAACGAAAGTGGTCATTGCTGGAGGTGCAAACCCAACCAATTTAAAGTCTGTGGAAATCTTCAGTCAGTCGAACGGAATCTGGACACCACTACAGCCAATGGAAGATATTCACAGTGGAGCATCTTCAGTTGTTTACAACAATCAGTTATTTGTCGTGGGAGGTTGGACACAATCAATAGAAAAATTATCATTGGGTGCTGTTCATGTTGACCAGTCCATACCTTGGGAAAACGTTCCTGCTGAGTTACCTGTAATGTTGGAGGGACACTGCAGTGTAGTCTATAATGGACGGTTGATAGTGATTGGAGGTTTGCGCGCGTTAAGCAATGATTTCAAGTGTTTGGATAGTATTCTTGAGATTTCCCTTGAGGTTCCACCCAGTACCACAGAGTTAACTACAATGAAACAGGCCAGACGTTTCCATGGTGTTGCAACCTTTGGTGACAAGATCGTAATTTTCGGAGGGGCAGAAAGCTTGGCCTTGAAAAGAAGTGAGTTAGCCCTCGATTGTGTTGTTATGTATGACATCAGTAAGAATGAATTTAACGAGTTAGCACCTCTGCCTCACCCCGTGAGTGCAATGGCCATAGTCAAGTGGGGTGATGAGAATGTTATTATAATGGGTGGTGCTGACAGTAACGATCAACCATTAAACAAAGTTATAATATACAACATCAAGACCCAGAAGAGTTACGAGTTACCAGACATGAAGTATAAGAGGAAAGGATGTGTGGCTGCAGTTGTCAAAGACACTGTGATTGTCATGGGAGGCCAAAATGAAAGAGGAAATTACTTAAAGTCAGTAGAAAGCTTTAAATTCGACCGCTTTACCTGGGAAGACCTTCCCGAAATGAATGAAGCCAGAAGCCATGCCACTGCAGTTGCATGTTAATTATGTGTTGTATATATTAACAATCTATCTATCTATCTATCTTTATTTGTATAACCACATCTCAATGAAATATACACAATCTACATGCTGACCAAACCCAGTAGAACGATTTAAATATGATCTGCGACTTTCAGTATTACTAATCCCAAAGTGATGTTAAATATTAGGGTGTCGGTTAGCATTAGCCATTAGGGATCGACTTTGGGTTAAGATTTTGGATTGAATTAGGCTTAGAGTATGGGTTAAGGTTAGAGATTGGATTAGGGACAGGATTGCACAAAACACAATCATTTCATTTTGAAAGAACTTCCACAAGTGCATAAAGTAAGAAGTCCCATGTTAATCATAAATTGTAAATATTAATATATCTTCAATATGTTAAATCGTAACCATGTATAATATATGCTAAATAAATTTCAATATTGTCATTATGGATGGGAATGTTGGTTATCTTTTCATGTCATGCAATCAATTTTTACACACATATATATATATTTACATATACATACATACATACATACATACATACATATATATATATATACATACATATATATATATATATATATATATATATATATATATATATATATATATATATATATATATATATATATATATATATAT